TCCGACGAAACTTACGCGACACAAGCCTTTTCTTAATAAAACTGGTTTATTCTTTCTGAATACAACTTTGCAATACACTTAATTTCCACAGTAGCGCTATAACAAACGCTATTATTCACAACGAACGTCTCACGTGCTCAACTCAACAATACTCTGTCCACAGTTCAGTTACACATTATTCCCGTCGCTTTTTGGCCGGTTTTATATATACAAGACTACCCCATATCTAGTAGTCTCCCGACGTTTCATGAACGTTCTAGAAGCGCGTGGCGTGTTACTAGCGTCACGTGACCTCCGCTGTCTTAAAAATATTTTCAAACCCCATCGAAACATTGGTATACTTTACAGGAATTTTGAAACGCAGCTCCTAGAGGCAAGACGGGAAAAATAACAAAGGCATTTTCTTATCGTGTGTTTGAAGAACAAAGTTATTCCAAGAACTTTATTATCAAAAATATTGAAGAACGATCAACGACTTCCTTTTGGTAAGCTTAAAGAATCCATCTTAAAAGAAAGGTTGAGAATATTAATTATCACGTATCAAATACTAAATACTAGATAGAAATAATCCAAACTACCTTAGCCCCTAACTGATTCAACAGTTGAAGTTTTGGGTTGCAGCTGTACGGAACTTTGAAACAAATATTAGACTTTGTAGTGGATATATTTGACATAACACTCGCTATGGTAAGAGTCTACTTCTAAGAATCATACTTAAGCCCAATGGTTTGAATGTTTCTTAATGGGACCGATAACATTATCTGATAATTTGCTTGTAGACACAACAAGTCCTTATTTACTATGTTTGCATTGATTGCTATATCTGCTGGGGGAAGGGGAGTGTGTGGATAAGGTGGGAAAAGAGCTAGAGAAGACAAAGCCTTCCTGTGTAAAACCATGTTTGTTATATACTATGTTACCGCGGGAATAACCTTATCATTCTTCATGCGGCCATCTTAGTTTTTTAGGGCAAAGAATACACTAAAGTAAAATAAGTCTATTTACACTGAAGTCTTATTAAGCCTTTATTGAAATATTTCGAATAAAAATTTGTGTATGAGAGTTTAAAAGCTAGATATTAACTATTATAAAATTGAACGCTTTCCCTTGGTCCTTAATTTACGTCAACGTTCTTAAGTTTATGATGTATATTTCATGAAAATGTTTTATTATATAATCACACGTGATTTTGTGGGGTGCGTGACCACAATTTCAAGGACAAACTAAACTGCGTGTATCTATTGGTTTTAAAAAAAACATGAAGTTTGTTTAACAGTTTAATTATACGTGATTTTGTGGGGTGCGTGACCACAATTTCAAGGACAAACTAAACTGCGTGTATCTATTGGTTTTAAAAAACCATGAAGTTTGTTTAACAGTTTAATCATACGTGATTTTGTAGGGTGCGTGTCGACAATTTCAAGGACAAACTAAACTGCGTGTATCTATTGGTTTTAAAAAACCATGAAGTTTGTTTAACAGCTTAATCATACGTTATTTTGTAGGGTGCGTGTCGACAATTTCAAGGACAAACTAAACTGCGTGTATCTATTGGTTTGAAAAAACCATGAAGTTTGTTTAACAGTTTAATCATACGTGATTTTGTAGGGTGCGTGTCCGCAGTTTTAAAGACAAATTAAACTGCGTATATCTATTGGTTTAAAAAAAAACATGAAGTTTGTTTAGCAGTTTTAAATAAAGAAACTGTCCAGCTTTTCTCTAATGGTTGGTTGGTTTGATTCAGCTTTTGCGCAAAGTTATACAAAATCTATCTGCCAATAGCTCTCTAATTATGAGCTAATGGGCTAGAAGCAAGGCAGCTAATGAGCTGCACCCGCAGATAACTCTTGGGCTACTTTTATCTAACCGAATAGAGGGATTTGACCGTTGCCTTCGATAGGCTAAGCGGTAAGGTTACGGGCTTATAATACTAAAAATTGAAGTTCAATACCCGTGGTTGGCACAGCGCAAATATAGGCCATTGAGAAGCTTTCGCGCTTGCAAACAAAACAAACGTCACTCTTATAGCGAACCCATGAACCCTCAGATTGTGTGTCCTGACCACGCCCAGCTCTGATGTTTAATAATTTACATAAATCTAATTGATATGGTGATAGTAAAGGGGTACTGTGTACTGGGGAAAACTTCCTACAGGCAAATCATTTCGTGTTTCCACTTGTCATAATGGTTTTTTTTTTTCGAGATATTGTCATGTTAAATTGCAGTAACAAATACTGAGAATCAGTGTGAAACGCATTCGAGTGTATTAGGAAGACAGAGTTGGTATTCACCATGGTAACTGTCTCCAAGACTGGCGACCTTTGGCTAGTCCAAACTTTAAAAAAACAAAAAAACTAAAATATACGAATGTTTTATATTAATTGTGGTAGCTGCTATTATCGGCGTGTATATTAAAATGTTAAAGTTTCGGTCCGTATAAATTAGCATTGTTGATTTACATTGCTCAAAACGTAGGTGCTATGTATTTATTTAGTTCAAAAGTTTTCAAGCAATCGTAATTTTATGTTTCTCCAGAGACTAAGTAACACACGATAATTTTACGCACACGCACACATATTTTTAAATATAGACTACCTCGTTTAAACCATGCCTATTTTGGCGCTTATTTTGGTTTGTCAAGGGTAGTTTTGTGAAAAATAATACGTAGTTATTTAGGTTCAGCCAACTGAGCACGTGTTTTAACAGTATACTGATTAGGGTGGAATTTAGGTGTATTTTGTATTAGTACTTGTTTTGGAATGTATAGAGGGATAATTGAGTCGTTGTTTTATTAATATGGAAAGTATAGATGTTATTACGTTAATTACAGATGATAAGTATTTTAATTGCTGATGAATTAAAATTAAACTTTGTTTTAAGTTTTTTAATGACTCAAGTTTCTATGGTTCATTTTACTTATTGATTGTTGGTACTACATGTCACATCAAAGTTCTTTTTAACTATAGTCTCTCCACATTCTTCTTGGTTTGCATGTCTGCCGATGTTTAAAGAAGAACCAGCACGAGCCTTCAGAGGCGTAGTTAATCCCAGATAATCTCGTCTACATCGAGAACAAACTATATCGATAAATATGAAGGAACGAGCGTAGAAGTTCAATAATTATGTCCTTTATATTGTTTATTTGTTTGTTCTTTGAATTTCGCGTAAAGCTACACGAGGGCT